ATCATGGAGGGCACAGAGATGGGCTTTCATCCGAATCTTCCAGTCATCATACTTTTGATCTGAAAACATGAGATGCTTTGCAAGAGAGTTATCCATAATAGGTTTTAAAGGAGGCTAAGAACAAGTGGATCTTTGTTCAAGGAGTAACCTAATAGATTACAAGAACAAGGAGGCTCTGATACCACTTGTTGGTCCCGGTTAATCTGGTAACAGTCTAGAGGGGGGGGGGGGGGGTGAATAGACTGTTATGGTTTTTAACTTTTTCCAGTCAAGTACCAAGGTAAACAGAATAGTCTGTTCTGTTGAGAACAGACTGGCAGCGGAGATCTTCTGGTAAGTGTTCTGTCGGGATAGCCTCACAGAAGAGTAAAGGCACTTGGCCTTCTGGTAACTCACTAGAGGTGTTCTGCTGAACACAGATACCACTTCTTAGGAGTTAATCAGTTTGCAAGAAATAAAAGCTGTAAGTAAATAACACCAGGGATTTTTATAGTGGTTCAAGGAACAACTCGTTCCTCTAATCCACTGTTCCACTAAGCTTGTAAAGCAACGGTTACAACGCCTTAGTCCCTAGAACTTAAGAAGCTCTCCACGTCTTCTTCAAGTCTAGATGTCTCCTGGGATGCACTTCCTTGCTTCCTTTAAGACTGGTCTTGTTTCACTGAGTCTCCTTGAAGTATCTCCACTTCACTACTCGAGCTACTTTCAGACGTCCTTCTTTGTAGAAGATGTTCTGTTGAGAACAGAGTTTTCTCCAACTTGCTTCGTCACAAAAGATTTGTAATGAGGTGCTTGAAGAGTTGAAGAACAGTAGGAACTTTGCCCTTGTTGGTGATGAAGAGTATGTGAACTTATGATCTTCCCAACGTAGGCCTTTCTTGTTGATGGAGTTGGAGTGTTGAAATTCAAGAAGGCTTTTTGTAAATAGAGCACAAGTTGTGGCAAAAGTTACTTGGTTGTTCTTCGAGTAGTATCTTTTATACTGAGGTTGTCTTCCCGTTGGAGGAGGAGACAACTGCATTGAATGCACGTACAGTTTGAGTTGACCGGCTGGGCCCGCAAGTTTGGCGGCTTGCTATTTTGGGATAGGCTTTCCAGGAATCTCGGTCAATCATCAGCTTTTACTCTTCGGAGCATGGGGCTCATTAAATGAGCATTAAATGCAGTCCTGTAGCATTTCCGTTGAGTATGAGCTAGCCGTTGAGGGAATCTTCCGTTGAAGTATTTGTCAAAAACTTCTAAGTGTCTGATCTTCTGCTGGTTTACAGAGGGTCTCGAGCTCTTCTGACTAGAGAAAGTCCAACAGAATACCATAGGTACTTCTGAGAAGTAGAAGACCAACAGCGATTCTGTTAGGTAGAACTTTAACAGAGGGTCTCGAGGTCTTCTGTCAGTTGACTATTCTAAAATGTACTTACAAGAGAGAAAATTCTAATACATCATAGCTAATGGGGGGGTACTCTAATGTTCTAATCTGTTTAGCATCATCAAAATCTAAATACAGTTATTCCTTACACCCTGTTCCCGTAGGAAGGTAAGGCCCATTCGGGGTCCTATCTTATGTGTTACCGCAGTCGGGAGTCTCGTAAGATCTCCGGTTCAGATTCCACTCCTACACGTGATCACGCTGTAAGTCCATGCTATCCAACCCCACTCTCCAGAGTCGGGGAGGGCCATGGTCCTTACTCCTTTCTAAAATCTACTCGGCTATCCTCACGGACTACCGAAAACACCCGTAGGCCAATCCTATACCTAGGATCAATTTATTATACACTTTATCTTGGGTATCCCTTAAGGCCTACCCCTAGTATCACTTAAAGCTCGCACTTATCCACCTTAGTATCTCTTAAGACTACTTAAGGCTCAACATTTCACAATCCAATCTTTGGACCAATTCTAACATATTCTCATCCCAATACCCCGACTAGTATTTTAATACTAGTCGGATAAATTCTATTGATAACCGCTTTCGCGGCGTTGTAGTAAAACGGAGTTTAACCCTTCCGGATGAAAAGGTTTATCCCCGAGTATCGTGTCTCTGAGGAGTGGCGGAGGGAAGTGTTGGTTTCAATATCGGTCACCGGTTAGTACGAATCGTTGCAAGCTTTCTCAAACGATTAATTGTGATAATGATTAAGTAAATAAAATTAAACAACAAAAGTAGTAGCGGAGAATTTAATTAAATGACATTAATGAGTAAACTAAAACTAGTGAACATGCAAAATAACTTGAGAGAGAATATTAACTAATTAAAATATTAAACTAGCAAACATGTGGATGAGTAAAGTTTCGAAAATAAAATACTAAAAGGTAAATTCAATGTGACTAGTAACAATAAATTAACTAATTAAAAGTGGGGTTTAGATTTGGAATTAAGGATCTTGGGTGTCTTTGGTTATAATTAAATTTGGGTATTTTCTCCAATCTAAGAATAGTAACATTAATTCTCATAGACAAGAATTTAATTTAAATTCCCTAACATGTCCTATTTCTAGGCTTAGTTTAGGTTGTGTGAGATGTGAGCTAAATTAATTCTACACTCATAGACAAGCAAGAATTAATTTTCCAAACATTCACAAGTGAAGTGATCAATTTCACAAATTACTCATTCAAATTTATCTCAAACAACTAGTCCTAAAAATTAGAGAATTTTCCCAAATTCAATTCAATATTCAAAAACACCCATTAACCTTAACTTTATCCAAATCTAAACCCCATGGAAATTTACCCTAACATAATTATCAAGATACTAACACAACTAATAAAGACCTAGAGTAATTCATAGATGAAATTAAACAGTAGCTAAACATCATTAACAAATACAATTATCCAAGTAAATAGCATTGCGGAATATGAAATAATACAGTAGCGTAATTAAAACCAAAAGCTTATTGAAGTTTGAAACTAAGCATGAAACTAGGATTGAAATTGAAAATAACAAAAGATTAACCAGAATTTTTGTCGTTGCTATGTGATACGAGCACTTTCTGCTGCGATTTCCCTCTGAATCTGCTCTATCCTTGCTGCTACGTTTTTCCCTACTGAGAATGTGACTTTTCTCCTTCTGCTAAGAGTTCTACCCTGCGGTCAAGAGCTGCTTGCGGCTAAGTGAGTGCAGCTGGGATGATATGTGGCTAGCTCTTCTCCCTGATTTTATCTCTTTTCTTTTTTTGCAATTGATTGATCTCCCGTCCCCTCTTAGTTGACCATGTGCCGCTGCCTTCCTAGCATCGTTGGCTGTCCTTTCTTTCTTTTCTTTTGCTGGCCGACACTCAATCTGATCTCTTCCTTTATTTTCTTTCCTTTTCTCCTTTTGTTTATTCATAGTAACGCAGCCCTGCTGCTTTTCTTTTTGCTTTCTCTCATTTTCGGTTTTCTTCTTTTTTTGTTTGTACCGCAGCTTGCTGCACTTTTTTGGGTTTCTTTTTGTTTTTTTTGGTTTTCTTTTACTTTATTTCATTTGTTTATTGTACTAAAACATATCTTATTGAAATATAATAGAATGCTTAATTTGACAAAGCACAAAATAACCACAGTACAAATAAGTGAAAAAAAAAACACAAAATCAATCCAAACACTTCAATTAAGTACAAATTACTAAAAAACGTAAATTTAAACACTAATTTCAAACATTAACAAAAATGCAACAAAAACGCAGAAAAATGTATCAATTTGCCCCGAGTTTAACAAGAAACGCGATAAAAAGTGAGTGAAAATATATGAACAAATGAGACTTATCAATCTCCTCACACTTAAGCGTTGCTTGCCCTCAAGCAACAAAACTATTGTCAAACAAATTTTCAAGGCAAACTGTTTATAGTGCACAGCTCAAGGACTCAAAGATCACGTCGAATCAATCATCAATAGACTAAAATTCCAATCTATCTAACTATATTTCCATGAAAGTACATTAATAACTGAACTTTTATGACACAACATACTAAAAAAAAATCCTTTAATGCTAGCATATATGCAAAAACTGCTACTAATTAGTTATGAGCACAAGTCAACATTCACATTCAAAAACCCTCAGTCATCCTTAACTAGTCATAAAATACACACAAGCTCCAGTTCTAAACACAGTTTTAGCTCCCCTAGCAATTTTTTTTTGAATGAACTTGGGGGAGCTATAAACCAAACCAAGTTGGTATGAATTTTATGGTTAAACTAAATCATTGATTTGTGGGGCTATCTCATAAAATATATAAAATATACTCAACTCTCGCAGAATACGATAATGAGAAGAGCAGCGCCCCTTCTCGGAGATGAGACTCCCAACGAAGACACTTCTCAAATCAATAATCAAGTACAACCAAAATAGCGAGAGATATTCTATCAAATGCTAAAAGCAGAGCCTCATTCGAGGATAGAATTCTCCCTAATCCAAGGAATTTAAATATTTTAAACTAACCAAGAAGCATTGTATATATCCATGAAAAGAAAGTAAGACCGATCAACCATTCAAACCAAAAATCCAAACTTGTGCACACAACTTCAAAGTAGAAATCAAGCATATCTACTAATATTTGAAGATTTTTTAAAAGTATAATGGTAATAAAAAGATTAGTTATAACAAAACTTTCATAAAAAATAGTTAAAGTAGATTACACCTTAGCTTATTACTGATCTTAACTTAGTTCACCTGAGCCTCTTGTCATGCGCACCAGATCAGTCCATGGCCCTGTTCCAAACCCTCCTCACACTTGAGATTAAACCTCGTCCTCGAGGTCTCAAAATAAAATCAAAATAAAACAGGGCAAATCTGCATTTTTTTAAAGTACCCTCCTCACACTTAAGATGAATCACAAATAAACACACGTGGAGGGTAAAAATTCATAGAGAAAAGTAAGAAGTACTCCCCTTGTGCTCAACATTGAAGAAGATTTGAAAGAGCAAGCACAAATGAAAATTTAATCCAATTGGGGAACTCCGGTGATTAACCTGAAAAAGCTAAAGCAAACAAAATATAATGATTGTTATAATATGGAAGGAAATAAGCAGAAGATCAGGGAGAGAAATATAGTATGAACACTTAGTGATAGATTATATTATTGAGAGTGTGATAATGGTGTAACCATGGTGTGTTAATTACAATGGAGAAGCCTCCTATTTATAGGAGAAAAGTTAAGCTTCATAGGATTAGAGGATAATTGTGAACCACACAATTATCATCTAGAATCATAATTATGATTTCCTGATTATTTATGTAATGGTGATAATAATTCCTAATCAGGAATAGTTGGAAGATGACTAATTCAATTATATTTCAACACTCCCCCTTGAATGGTCATCTTCTAATTATTCTGGGGTATTAGATTCATAGTATTATAATGTACTGTCTCGTTAAAAACCTTTGTCAAGAAAAACCCAGTGGGATAAAAACTTGACGAAGGGAAAAAGAGTGCAGTGCATTATATTACTCCCCCTCAATTTAACATATATCTCGAAGACGATACATTCCAATTTTATGGACCAGTTCTTCAAATTTCTTCGGTGCCAATGACTTTGTGAACAAATCAGCAGGGTTGTCGCATGACTTGATTTGTTTGACATCAACCGTTCCGTCTTTCTCAAGATCATGTGTGGAGAAAAGTTTTGGTGCTATATGCTTTGTTCTGTCCCCTTTGATGTAACCTCCTTTGATCTGAGCTATACATGCTGTATTATCTTCATAAATCACAGTAGGATTAGAAGTAAAAGATTTTATACCGCATTCATTTTGTATGTGCTGGATCATTGATCTCAACCAGACACACTCACGACCTGCTTCATAAAGAGCAATTAATTCTGCATGATTTGATGATGTTGCAGTTAATGTTTGCTTCATTGATCTCCATGATATAGCGGTATCACCATAGGTGAATAAATATCCTGTTTGTGATTTTGCCTTTTGTGGATCAGACAAGTATCCTGCATCCGCGTAGCCAATTAAAGTGGCATTTGCACCATTCTTGAAATACAATCCAAGATCGATTGTACCATTGAGATATCGGAATATATGTTTGACACCATTCCAATGCCTTCTTGTTGGGGAAGAACTGTACCTGGCTAATAAATTTACAGAAAAAGCAATATCTGGTCGAGTATTATTAGCCAAATACATTAATGCTCCAATAGCACTCAAATATGGTATTTCGGGACCAAGGATTTCTTCATCATCTTCACAAGGTCGGAAAGGATCATCATGCACATTGAGAGATCGAACCACCATTGGAGAATTGAGTGGATGTGCTTTATCCATGTAAAATCGCTTCAAAAGTTTCTCGGTATAATTTGATTGGTGGATGAAAATACCATTTCTCAAATGTTCAATTTGAATGCCGAGACAAAATTTTGTTCTCCCAAGGTCTTTCATTTCAAATTCTTTCATGAGATATTTTGCAGTATTTTCAATTTCATTAGGAGTTCCGATTATATTCAAATCATCAACATATACTGCAATTATGGCGAATCCTGATTCGGATCGTTGAATGAAAACACATGGACTAATAGGATCATTTTTATACCCTTCTTTAATCAAATATTCACTGAGACGGTTATACCACATGCGTCCAGATTGTTTTAATCCATATAATGACTTTTGCAATTTTATGGAAAATAAATCTCGAGATTTCGAGCTATAAGCATCAGATATTTTAAAACCTCCAGGAATTCTCATATATATGTCTGTATCGAGTGAACCGTATAAATATGCGGTCACCACATCCATTAGGCGCATTTGCAGCCTTTCAAAAACAGACATGCCAATTAAAAATCTTAAAGTTGTAGCATCAACTACTGGAGAATACGTCTCATCATAATCGATTCCTGGCATTTGAGAAAAACCTTGGGCAACAAGTCGGGCTTTGTATCTAACGATTTCATTTTTCTCGTTGCGTTTACGCACAAAAACCCATTTAAAACCGACTGGTTTTACGCCTTTTGGCGTATGGACAATTGGTCCAAAAACATTACGCTTTTCTAGCGATTTTAATTCTACCTGAATTGCTTCATTCCATTTTGGCCAATCATTTCTACGACGACATTCGTCAATAGATTTAGGCTCATTGTCATCATGTTCATTCATTATATCTGTGGCGATGGCATATGAAAATATATCATTAACATCAATATCATTTCTATTCCATTGTATTCCATTAGAAACGTAATTAATTGAAATTTCGAAATTATCGACGTTTCTATCTTTATCTGGAATATTTACCTCTTCGAAGGTGATTGGATCCTCTTTTGAGGTATCATTATTATTGATGTTATCTTCAAGGCCGATATTTTCAAAATGTTCATTTTCTTCTTGAGAAGGTTGAACTTCTTTGGCATCACAAACTACAACTTGCTGTTTAAATTTTCTTGGTTTCAAATCTCTTGAACCAAGTGGTCTACCACGTTTTTTACGTATCATAGATTCATTAGCAAGTGTTCTTTCGCTAATCTCCGCAGGAATTTCTATTCGAGAAGGAGCATTCATAGCTGGAACATGTGACTTTGTCACTTTCTTTGAGTCTGTGAATGCATCAGGCAATTGGTTTGCAACATTTTGTAAATGAATAATCTTTTCAATTTCTTGTTCACAAGCATTTGTGCGAGAATCAAGAAAAGATAAATTTGTTGCATTCCAAGTAATATCTTTCGTACGTGGGTCCATTTCTTTAATATCTCCCCCTAAGGCTGGGAATACTGTCTCATCAAAATGACAGTCATCGAACCGCGCGGTGAATAAGTCACCGGTCATAGGTTCTAGATAATTAATAATTGAGGGTGATTTAAAACCAACATAAATTCCCAGCCTTCTTTGAGGACCCATTTTAGTACGATAAGGTGGAGCAATTGGTACATACACAGAACAACCAAATATTTTTAGGTGTGATATATTTGGTTCTTTACCAGATATTAATTGTAATGGGGAAAATTTATGATATGCTGTTGGCCTAAGCCGAATTAAATTTGCAGCATGCATTATAGCATATCCCCATGCAGATGATGGTAATCTGGATTTCATCAATAATGGTCTAGCAATTAATTGTAATCGCTTAATTAAGGATTCGGCAAGACCATTTTGTGTATGTACATGTGGAACTGGATGTTCCACATCAATCCCAATTGACATGCAATAGTCATTAAAAGATTGGGATGTAAATTCTCCTGCATTATCAAGTCGGATTTTCTTTATCGAATAATCCGGAAATTGTGATCTCAAACGAATAATTTGAGCAAGGAGATTTGCAAATGCAAAATTTCTAGTCGATAAAAGACTGACATGTGACCAACGTGTTGATGCATCAATGAGCACCATAAAATATCGAAACGGTCCACACGGAGGGGTAATTGGCCCACAAATATCTCCTTGAATTCTTTCTAAAAATGCAGGAGATTCAACTCCAATTTTAAATAAAGATGGCCTGATAATTAATTTGCCAAGAGAACAGGCAGTGCACTGAAAATCACTTGATTGCGGAATTTTGACATTATTTAATGAATGTCCAAGTGAATTTTGAATAATTTTGTGCATCATAGTGCTGCCTGGATGACCTAACCGGTCATGCCACAAGATAAAAGAATTGTGGTCATAAATTTTAGATACCACATTTATCTCAATTGGACTGATGTATGTATAATACAGTCCTGAGGAATATGCTGGCATTTTTTCAGAAATGTATTTATTGCCAGATCTATTTGTCGTTAGACATAAATATTCCTTCTGATTTTCAGACATGGTTTCAATATGAAAACCATTTAGACGCAAATCTTTAAAGCTCAAAAGATTTCTCCGTGATTTACTGGAGTATAAAGCGTCTTTAATTATTAATTTTGTCCCTTTTGGGAGAATCACACAGGCTATTCCAGAACCTTCAATGAGTTTAGCAACACCTGAGATTGTATTGACATTAGCATCAACTAATGTCATATGAGAAAAATAATCTCTATGTCTCAAAATGGTGTGCGTTGTGGCACTGTCTATTAGACATTGTTCAGAGCCACTTGGAGAAATTTTAGTTAACTCCATATCTTCGCGAAGATAAAAATGAACAAGTATTAGTTCAATATTGTAATATAAATTGTACTTCACTTAATAGTACATTTAATTGTGCATAACTTTCACGTTAAAAATAAGCACTTTAAATAAAAATTACATATAACAAATTTTTATTTTTAAAATATACTCCCGTACGTATTACATAACAAGGAGATAATAAAGTGATGTACACTATTCTGACTTTTAATAAGAGAAGTAATTTAACTCACATATATACTTCTTATTAATTTCTACCTCATCATTTGAGATTAAAAACAATCATGAGTGTCGTTATGACTTATGAGGGGTTATTTCCGGCAATTGACATAAACGTACATAATGACCGTTTGGTTCAAGTTACTATTATACCAATTGTTAAGGGGCCCTTTTAACAATTAGAGATATGCAACTCATAACCAAAGGTCCATAAAGTACAAAACTTATGCTCGTTATTTTTAATTGAAAGATTGTTTTTTATACAGATAAAGTCATAAAGACATTTAAAGAGATGGAAATAACCATGTTGTTTTTGGATTCACTTTACGTGAATGAAAGCCAAATAAGGGAGTAATAATAATTAAACATCCATAATGTCAACTGATAACTCAATTTAATTAGTACTCAGTATAACATAATTATACTACTACGGCAGTACGGCTAAGTTTGAGTAAGTCATCGAAGTGGTTTCAATATTATTCCAACTAATGTGTTTATTCAAAATACTCAATATATACTAGAATAATACGTATTACATTAGTCATACGATTACATATATTATGAAATGATTGTGTAGTACATGGGATCAACTTTATTGTGCACCATAACTTATTAGAGCACGTAGATCCAATCTTAATTAAGGTAGCATGTGAACTATGGGTTGGGTTTTCATAAACCAGAATTGTTCGTACTTCAATCTTGTTTGAAAAATCAGTATATTTATAAATTGTCCATTGTATTGCGGCAAATGTATTGAGCCTCAATTTCTGCCTATCTCTAACTAGAGATATACGGAGTATTAAAATATTTCTGATACATTCAATCATTCATATGCTATAAGAAAGCGGTACATATAATTGAACTTCTAGTTCATATGCATCATAGTTTCATTGTTCGGCAAGAAAAGTGAAGAATATTAATTACCAAGTATTTGAGAATCAAAATACTGGAATAATAGTAGTTATACGTACTAGTGTACTACATGTATATACTACTCCGTCGCAATATTACTACGTACGTAGTATAATGTCATCAGTTTATCATTTAATTTAATAAGACAAATGTCACATGCATATGTTTCTTTTGCAGGCCACGGAAATGACACATACATTGACTTTTGAATATATTAATTAGATTACAGCTATTCAAGTATTTGTAATCCTTTAATTCACTCTGTTCATTGTTTATTTATTTTTGTATGTATCATCCTTTTGCTTCTCGAGTTATGAATCTTCTCACAGCCTCACCTTCAAGGCTTCATTCTCTTCTCATTTTCTTTTCTTATTTTATTTTTAAAGCTGTGTGAGTATATTGCTAAGAAGAAAACGAGATGGCAGTTTGGTTGTGTGCCGAATAAAAGAAACCTGTGACTTTATGAAGCTATATGATACGAAGTATATATGAAGTTAAGATGTAAATTTACTAAGCTACTACTCCTTAGCTTCCAAGCACATTTACGTAGTATTCTTTCTTTTATTTTAATCTACTAGACTACTAGTATAGATAATGTACACATGTGATATCCATGTTCATTCTGATTTGCTAGTTCCAGAAATTTTTATGAAGAAGTATGTTCAACACAGGTACGGTTGACTTATTTATATTTACAATCACTTCAACTCTATTTCATCTTACCTTTTGTTTCGTAAGATTTATTATTAGTATATAATATTTCATAATTTGGAAGAAAATGTCAAGAGAAAAGAAAAACTCTCTTTCTTCCATCGGCTTATATTTCTTTTATAAAATATATAGCTATAATTTTCTGATATGGAGGATCCCAATAATTGGGCAACCATAGAGCATACTTCTTATAGTTTTGAATATATTCAAACATGTTCATACTTCTCAACCTCTTATTTTCTTTTCAGATGAACTGATAAATTCCTGAAAAAATATACCTGCTGGGAAGATGATGATTTCAAGGATTTGGAGCAAATTCGTGCTGATAACGTGTTATAATATGGAAGGAAATAAGCAGAAGATCAGGGAGAGAAATATAGTATGAACACTTAGTGATAGATTATATTATTGAGAGTGTGATAATGGTGTAACCATGGTGTGTTAATTACAATGGAGAAGCCTCCTATTTATAGGAGAAAAGTTAAGCTTCATAGGATTAGAGGATAATTGTGAACCACACAATTATCATCTAGAATCATAATTATGATTTCCTGATTATTTATGTAATGGTGA